TTTTAAAATTGCTGTTTAAGGTCTCACCAAAGATCTTGTTTGAAATGTTTGGATGAATATTTATTTATTTATTTATTTATTTATTTATTTATTTATTTATTTATTTTTAAAGATTTATTTATTTGTTCATACAGAACTGGGGTACAGGCCAGAGATGTGGAGGGTGAGAGGCTTCACCAGAGACAGAGTGGGGAGCAGAACAGGCAGATCGACGAAGTACACTGCTGAGGGGAGCAGCGGGCGAGTCAGGAGAGGTCTGCCGCGCCATGTGGTCACCTCCGGGGCAGGCAGGAATCGAACTCATGCAGAAGTGGCTTAAGCTTCTTTGTGCTGTGCTTTAACCTGCTGCGCCACCAGGGAGGGCCAGGATATTTATTTATTTTTAAAGAATTATTCCTTTATTATAAGATTTATTTATTCAATTTATTTTTCCATAGAAGAATTGGGGTGTGTGCCAGATGTATGGGAGGTGAGAGGATACCCCAGAGACAGACTGGGGAGCAGAACAGGTAGTTTGACTGAAATTCACAGCTGTGGGGAGCAGAAGGTGAGACAGGAGAGGTCTGCTATGCCATGTGGGTCAGTTCCAAGTCTGAGGGTTGAACTCAGGCCTTAGTGGCTGGTGATGGCTTGATAGTGCTGAGACTTTAACCCCTGCGCCACCACAGAGGCCCAAGTTTCAAAGTTTAGCTCTACATTTGCCAGGGCTATCATTTTTAGCAATCATTAAACTTTTCTTAATTTTATCATCCGTAAAGTAAAATTAGCTATACTTTCCTTCAATGGGGAATTTAAGGATTAAAGGGGATAATTTTCTTGCACAAAGAAAATACTCAAGTGGCAGTATTATTTTATTTAATATATATATACATACATACATACATACATACATATATATATATATATATATATATATATGCTTTTTTTACATCACTTTTCACTTCTGTGCTCTGTATACTTTCTCCTCTCAGATGTAGTCCCATAATATTCCCACCACCAGTATTTTATATGAAGGATTTAGCAAAACCTGAATAGAATAAAAACATTAGGGTGAGCAACAACTGCACATTTGCTTTGTTACTGTAGCTCTCAGTAATAATTTGTAGTTGTCCTCAATTATGCAGGTTAAGTATTCAAAAATACAATCAGTAAAGTTATTTGATATTAAGGAACTTAAAAATAAAAAAAATCAAGTTGGGGGCCAGAGCTAAGAAATATGTCCATTTTGTATTTGTTTTGTAGTCTCTGTAATAATGTAACTGATAGCTCCCAAAATTAAAATATTATCAGTGATATTTAACAAATATTAACTTGGTAATAACACTGATTTTCCAGTCATGTAAAATGTTGAGTACATCACAACATAGATGTTTGTGTTTATATCCTTATATGCTGATGATCTGCTTATAGACTTCACTCTAGCGTTTGGTCTTCCACTGAAAAGGTTCCATTTTCTCATAATTGTTTTGATTTTCCTTTTTCTTTCCATGTTGCCCCATTTGCAACAACTACCTCTGCAGTTGTATGTGTTTCATATCTCCACCTCCCCGCCTCCCCCCAGGTCACTGGAGCAGATATAGTACAGCTTGAGGTCTAGAGTACTGAAGAAACCAAATAGCCACCCACCAGCCGCCATCGCCAACCAGCCAACCACCCACTAACTACCCACTAATTCCCCAATAACTAACCAAGCAACTAACCCCCCACCAACCTCCCACCAACAAGCAACCACCACCCACACCCACCACCCACCAACCAACACTTTGGTGACAGCCTCAGCTATATTGAACATGTGTTTGAGACTTCTCCCTAATATGTAGGCATACTGGAATTATGACAACTTTATATTAAGATTTCTTTGACAAGGTTCTCCCTTCCTTCCTGAAATCCAAACACACTAACTGCCATTTTTTTATTTCCAAGCCTTCAATGCAGCCCCTCCAATACATTTGCCTAACTCTCCCCACTGTAAATATCTACCTTTTAAAAAAGTATCTTCAAGAGAATGACCTGTGGGCTACAAATATTACAATTAAACTTCGTTGGTTGTTCAAATTATTAGGTAACTTTAGTCCAGTCTAAATTATAGAAATCAGTTTTAACTTAGAAATCAGTTGCAAATGAGGACAGGTATAACAGAACGGTGAGGTCTGAGGTCTAGTGAAATTTTAGAAAATCTATTTGGCATTTTGTGCCATCAGCTCAAAGGATAGTTAAGTGATTTATTGGCATTATCTTAGGTTTCATATTGGGTGGTGTCGGTGACTCACAGGGCAACTGAGTAATTTAAAAATTGCATTTGTAGGCAGCAGTAAGCTATGGCCTGAGTACTGCCCTCACTTCTACATTAGAGAGTCTGTGGTGCATGGCTTCTTTCAGTTGTACAGTCAGCCAACAATGCTTTTGGACCCTACATGTTGTGAAATCTGATGCTATAAAAGTAAGAGGAGATTTATTGGTTGACTCTTAGGGCAAATGGAGAGGGAAAAATTTTAATATTTAAAAAAAATTTATTTATTCATGCATACAAGAACTGGAGTGCAGGCCAGAGGAGTGGGGCGGGGGGGAGAGGATTCACTAGAGACAGAGCAGGGAGCAAAACAGGAAGACTGACTGAAATCCACTGTTGAGGAGAGCAGCAAGCGGAACAGGAGAGGTCTGCCAGCCACTCCGCATGGGACACTTTGGCTGGAGATCGAACTTGTATTGCAGTGGCTACGTATTGCTTCATGGTGTTGTGCTTTAATCCATTGTGCCGCCAGAGAGGGCTCAAATTCTTAACATTTCTATGGGATTCACTGGTGATCTTATATGTGCTAAGAGAAAAGTGAATATAATAAGTAGTCACATGGTAAGAAGAGGAGGTAACAAACTATGGTTCTTTCACTGGGCAAGTCGTGATAAGATTATGCCCAAGCACACATTATCAGGCATAAATTTAGTGTTTATCTAATTTTCCTTTTAAGCTACTAACAAAATACTGTATGATCTAGGATACTAAGATCATGTCAAATTAGTGCAAATTCTTCACTGCATGGAAGAAAATGTAATTACTGAACAGCAGAAATATAATTGCTTATATCCTTAAACATCCTGGCAATTGAGGCATCAGATTTGTTAAGCCTTTTTTACAATCTGTGGCTAGTGAATTTTTAGTCCTTTTTAAACTTCATTATTCTGAAATTTCTCCACATCTTTATTATAAATGTCTTGATAGTCAAACAGGGTGATATTCAGAAAGCTCAATAGTTACAGTTCACTTTTATAGGACTCCGGGTCAAGACTAACCATGAATGGATGTGATTTTGGCCTTTTTTTCTAGAGCATGTGGAGCATGTGAACCTGAAATAATTATCTTTGTTTTGTTTGTTTTTAATAGAGATAGCATTGGCTTACAATACAGGTGACTCTTCACATGAATGTTACCATACCACACCTACTACCTATAGTTCTTTGCCAAAGTCCATTGGGACCCTTACCCCTTTACTCTGCACTCCCAAACCCCTACTGGTAGCCTAGATTTTACATTTAGATTTCTAGGGTTTGTTTTGTCTCTGTATTCCAGGCTTGAAAGAAATCATTTGGCACTTGTCTTTCTTCTATTTTATTCTGCTTAGCATAATCTCCTGTAGTTCCATCCAAGTTGTTGCAAATAGCAAGAGTTTATCTCTTTTTAACATCTGAATAGTATTCCATTGTGCATATTGATCACATCTTCTTAATTTACTGTCTATCCTTGAGCATTTAGGTTGTTCCCATAATTTGTTTACTATAATAATGCTCTAATGAACATAGGAGTGCATATATCCCTCTGATTTTGTTTTTGCACTCATTGGGGGAGAACTGCTGGGTCATTTGGTCGCTCTGTTTGTAATGTTTTGAGTCACCTTCCTTCATTTTCTAACCTTTTGTTGGTAGAATTGCAAATGGGATGTGTAACAGCTAAAAGAGGTAGCAAAGAAAAGAAGGAAAACCATATGTAGGTAAAAATGTCAAGATTGATATGTACAATTAAATACTGAAATCCTTCAAAGGTTCAAATATTGTTCAGCTATTAAAACACCATTCTTGGAAATTACTGCATTTGATATTAAAATTATGGCAACTTTCAAAGATATATTTTCATATCAGTTGAAAGCCAGCTTTTCTAGTCACACCTTAACAATACAAACTCTGAAGTTTTTTTTTTTTCCTGTTACTTAGATTCCTTTATTGAAATACTTTTTCTTCAAACTCACATAGGTTCTCAAATATTTTCATAAGAAATGCATATTGATTAAAAAAAAAACATTTTCCAAAAATCAACTTCCTTTTTTATTGAATAATACATTGAGTTTTAGAATAAAGATACAGTCCAAGTTAGTATTAACCACTTGTCCCAGAGTCAAATGTTGCATATACTATGTGATGCAAATTTGGTAGGGACCAACATTACCAGCTATCACAGGGATAATATGATGTTTTTGGACATGTTGGTCAAAGAGTTACTGTAGGACTTTGATGTCTGCATTTTTAGTTTCAAGAACATTTATGATTCTAAATAGCATCATGTATGGTTATTAAAGGAAAAAGAAACAGCAGGGCATGGCTCCATAGCTTGGTAAACAGCTGTAGAAATATGTTTATTAAAGCTGGCTCCTAAGTGACAGATAAATGCATGTTCCTATTATGCACGCTAAATCCAGCATTTTGCAAGCTTAAAAGCAGATAGATCAAAACAAGAGAGATTTAAAAGATCATAAAGACAAAATACAGCTATGTCAGTATGTGACAGAAAAGTAATTTAGCCTTAAAAGTGATCTCTCCTAAGCCCCTTAAGGAACATGTAACCACAATTTATGAAATAAAATTTAAAGCATGTTGGAAGATTCCATTTCTTAACTTACCTGACATGGAGTTAAAAGATCTATAACATTTAAATGGGCGGCTGTTAAACAAAGAAACAATTCAAACCCCTCTATTCCCCCCCCCAAAAAAATGAGATCACATAAGTGCAGATTTATAATTCTTATTTATTAATGTGCGATGTTTAATTCTTAAAAAAAAAGAAAGAAATGCACACATACAAGCCACTAGACAGATTCTTTCATGCATGTCTTTTTCTACCTCCCGTAATTCTGCTGCATGATTTTTAGAGGAGTCCCCTTGCCAAGATTGGCATATGTTTTTCAATTTTCACTGTCCTAAGCCATGTTTACAGAAAGATGTACACACATCATCGATGGTAGGATCTGCAACCCTCACACGATTAAAAGTTCAGTTCCTCTTGTTTTCTAGGGCTTTGCATAAATGCCAATAACTTTGAGAATTCACCCAACTGTGCCTCTTAACCTTTGTTCTCAAAGGCGAAGGGCAGGAATTTTAATCAAGTCTCAATTTATCTTTAATTAGGAAAACATAATTAGGTATTATCATCTAATTGCAATTCCTGGTTAGAGAAAGTCACATTTCACAAGTAGTGACCCATGCTAGATTATCCTTCTCCTGTTACTGGATTTTGCATCTGGATTTGGATTTGGCAGAGAGCCAGCCAATGTGAAGGTGATCACCATGCTTCTCTGTAGTCCAGTTGTCAAAGTCAGTAGTTCTGCCGCTGAATTATAAGCCAAGAAACACTTCCTGAGCCACATCTTGGCTGTTCTGTGTCCTGCTCAGACATCAAGTGTAGATCAAAGAATAGGATACAAAAAACCTATGTGAAGTAGGTTAGAGAACTGTTCCACACTTCATTTCTGGTACAGTTAAAAACAGTTTAATGTCTCAAGGCACCACTATGGTTGAACATGAGATACACAGGTAATTAGCTAATATTCTACTATGCTGTCAAGTCAGTAAATAGCTTGTGCAGTTGTGAAAAGCAATCTCTAGAGGACCGTTAGATAGACAGTAGGCACGTGTCTCATAATACAAATAGAAAACAATGGGTCCTAGAAAAAGCATGTTGAGCACCGTTGTGGCTTTGTTGGTATTCCTTGACCTAAGACTACGTAAACCTTACATTTACAAAAGGAAAGACTAACTCTTTAAAGGGACACTCCAGGTTGTTTTTTGTGCTATCGTCAAGTGAGTCTAGTTCGTAGGTGTACTTTTAGAAGTCACTGGATCTGGGTCAACTTCTGTGGTGCTGGTAGATTCGTTCAAATGTGAGCTCAAGTTTTCCGACGTTAGGTGGGAAGACTTGTAGACAATCTCATTGAAGTCAGATCTGATGCAGACCAAGGGAGGATCATTCAATGGGTCTTCCACAGAGGCCTGGGTGTTCTCTCGCGTGATTCCCATATCTTTACTATGTTCTGATGGGGATTTCCTTTTCATACGAGTGTAAGTTTTGTCTTGGTTCTCCATGCCTTGTTCATTTTTCAGAAACCGCCCAAAGAACCAGATGAAGAACCCAAACCACACAAAAGCTATCAAACTTGGAACGAAAGCCAAACACTTGACATCGAGGCTAGCCCCTATGAACCTGCTGTGTAAGAACAAGTCCTCCTCGGCATATGTTTTATTTGTCTGTGGGTTAGTGTGATTGGATCTCCATTCCCAGGATAGCCTAGTTCTGTTCAAATCCTTTAAGCTTTCTGAGTCTTTCACTGTATATATCTTCTGTCCTGGACCAATATACTGTCCATATTCATGAGGCTTATAAAATATCTGATTCTTCCACATATTAAGATCCAAAATCAAGACAAGAAAGATAATTCCATAGTTAAACCATTTACCTGCATTAAAAAAGAGAAACACTGCATTAGTAAAAAAATATAAAATTGCAAGAGACATTTCTCCAAGAAAATGGAGATAATGGTATAATAGCATAAATTGTTAATGTCGTAGGCCTGCTAACAATTAATTTTTGAGAGTGCTATGCTGCCATTAAGTGAATTGGCAGAGGGGATTTTCTAAATGGATTATATGTACATGAAAATGTAGCTGTAGGTCCTGAAACCAGTAATTCATAGTGTTGAAACTAACCAGATTAATCCCCCTTGTTTTATAGGTATCACAGGTGTACTCAAATCTGGTTCCATATAGGTTATTCTCTAGAACATTCCCATTAACGTTTAAAACAAAGTTCTGAGGAAATTCCAAGAAAAGCCCAATTCTGACTGAACATCTCTTTCAGGTTCATAATTATGCCTGGGCAAGAAATAAATCACTTTGCAATGCAAGCACAGCAGCATATCAATTGAATTCACATTGCTGCTTGTAGGTGACCTGTTGATTAAGCCATTAGTGGAAGTGATTCAGATCAATAATCCTTGAGCATTCATTTCAAGGCTTCAAAGATTATTGCATCAAATTTTCATTGAAGAATCCATTTATCAGACATATAAATATAACCAAAACTAATGAAGTGTTTAGAAGACATGATTTGGAGAGATTCTCAGTACTAAAATGTCTTTGTAGTATTTAAAAATCACGTATAAATAAGACATTGCTTAGAGTGATATTATCTAGTGATATCTTTATATCTGCAAATGGAGAAATTTTCAATGGATATTGGATTCCAATATAATTTTTATTATAATCATTAATTACTTCAAGTTTTTAAATATCAAGTGTGTCATAAAAGGATAGTAATATTCTCCTCATAGGTTTGCTGTAGCAAATCAGGTGATATGTGCAACAAGGTGATAAAAACTTTAGTTATAATTAATATATACATGTCAAAATTATTTTATTTTACATTTGAAGATAGTAATATGGGACATTACTAAGTTACTGCTTTACATGTTCATAGAACTCTTGGGATAGGAGAGACAGGATCTTAGGCAAACTTATTAAACCAAAAATGGTAAGTGTATTTTCCAACAGGTACTCTAATAGAATATATAACTACACAGAAATATAATTTTGTGGGGCATTTCAGAAAGTATTTTATCATCATTTCATGTTCCTTTTACATGTGAAGCTGAAGGGTGTTAGCCCAGGCCCCACAACTGACTAGCTATATAACCTTTATTTATATAACCAGTCTGTTTGTTTGAGTTTTCTAAGCCCCTGTTTCTTTGTATGCAGAAAATAATACTACTTATTAAAACTGTTAGCTGACAAAAGATTTTTACACCCTAAGCATAGTGACTGGTACATAATAGAAACTCAGGAATAGTTACTATTATTTTCATCCAAGTTTTGCTTAAGCCATGGTAATGTCTTAATTGGACATGGGAAGGTAATACTTCTTTATGAGGAAAATTTATAGAAACCATGTGATGCTAAATTTTAATTCTGCTTACTCTGAAATCATTCAACTATATTGGGTCTAATATTTTTAATAGATGCTCTTGCCAGAATGATTTATTTTGCACACTTAATCTAGAAAGTAATTTGGGACTCTGCAAGCTTTGTTTCTAGATGTGATAAAATATTTACAACAGCCTGTCCTCCTGGATCTTCAAAACTGAAACAGATTCACCCTAAGAATCACCATAAAATAAATTAAGAAAATCTCATGCCAAGAATTATAATCACATGCATAGGTGAGTGTCATTACTAAAGGCTTCATGTTCTCACAGACTCAGGATACTTGAAGGAAATACTTCTACCTCCAAGGGAGGAATCCATCATCTTGTTGGGAAGTAGGACTGAGGCATCTAAGTAAAAAAGGCTATATTTGACAGGTGTCAAATCATGATACAAGACATACATTCTGAAGATGTCGAGAAAATGGAATAGAATTAGAGGAAGTAGCCATTTATGTGGTTGAAAGGAAAACAGGACAGAGGACAGTTTGGGAAAATATAAATTTTTACTGTGATGCAGAAAATCAGAAAAACATCAGGTGGTAACAGTTGTGAAGGGCCAGAGGAGAGAGAAGGTAAAGAACAGGGTCTGTGATAGGGGAAAATGGGCAGGAGGAAGCTGAATGATGGGTGTCAGGGAAAACTGAAGAGGATTCTCATCCAGTGCTAAGGAGTTTGTTGTTTCCCTGATACAGAGCAACTTGAAAAATGAGGTTTCAGTGTATCTCTGGTGTAAGAGATTCCTACTTACTCTCTTGCTGTGAACTACACATCACAAAGCCAGAATGGTGAGAGAAAGGACCTTGAATTTGTATGAAAGACTGTTACCTTCTTAACTCCTCAAAGTCCTTTGGGGAAGTAGGTATTCTCACTAGTTTATTTTTTTTTTTTATAAACTCTTGATAAGCACAATCTGCAAATGGGTTATTTCTGGGTATAGGGTAAATGGAGCTTTTTATGCCTCTGGCCTCTGTGGCTGACTCCTGCAGCCTTGATAGTTTTGATGCAGAGGACCCTTGGGGATGTGGGTTTGGGGCACATGTCCCTGACTGTGGACATCTGGAGCGTGGGTGTTGACATGCATAAGTGTGCACATCTTTCAGAGCACATCTGAGAGATCGTCATAAGAGGATGAGCTGTGTGACTGTGGAGAGGCAAGAACACCAGGGAGAGCCCAGAGAAACGTAAAAACTTGTGGGGCTCTCAGAAGCTTTGTTTCCTGCTTGACGCCCAGCTCCCCACTCCCACCCCTGTGCCTGCTTCCCTGCATGCCAGCCCCCCTGCCTGGTGTGCCTGTGTGCCCCATTCCCTGAGGGCAGTAAAGCCTCAAAAATCACAAAGGGCTCAGGACTCTCCTTTATTCATTTGCTCAAATCCATAGTGAACCTGCCCTGCATTTGCTGGCACTAGACTGGGGTGGGGCGGGGGTAGGGTATCAGGATGTCAGAAAATGACACAAGACACGTCACATAATCAGAGGACAGAGGGATGCTCATGCTGCTGGGTGAAGGGTGTTTTTGTTTCAGTGAAAAGATGCTCAGGGAATGTTAGTGCACAAAAGGAAAACATAAAATCAGAGCATGCACTTTAATTCCCTGTGAATTCCTGGTGAATGTGCACTGATCACACTAAGAACCTCAAGGAGGACAGGAGACCACCCCATATATTCAAATATGTTTTTCCTACTGAAATTCAATAATGCTGGGTTCTTTGATCACTAAATTTCTGTGACAAATGATCACTTTATTATGCTGTGCCCTGGAGTTTAAATATTCAGGTGGGAGGGGAAGAGGAACAAATTAAAAAGGCATTGTCTGACATCAGTTAATGGCAATCGCTGCCTTGCTCTGACACATTTTTTTCTGGTATGGAGAGGAAGCCCCAGAGCGACCCAGCTGCAGGCTGGAATCAGCAGGTGGAGATCTGAGTCTTACACAAGATAGTAAACCTTGGATTACCTGTTTAACCTTTACAGCCCTCAATAATTCATTTTCAAGTAGAAACTGAACTAGATGCTTCCAGTTCTAGGATTTTGATCTCCTCCCCCCCAACCCCCAATCCTTCTACTTAATAGTCATGTGAATCCATTTTCTGTGAAATGGAAAAAAATACCAAGATAACCACAACCACCTCCAAAATCACTGTTGAGGCGAAAATGAGAGTTGTATTTGAAAGCTCTCTGAAACATCACATTTTCCAAAAATGCAAGATAATCTTAATTCAACAATTTTATTCTTCTGCTTCTTCATTCCAGTTAATATAGAATCTGGGTGGCGTAACAGAGGGAGAGAAGAATGGATAAGGTTTGGAGCAAAGATATATCCTTAAGGTGAGATGATCAGAAGTCGCCGTTTGGAACAAATGGTGTGGATTACTGATGTCAAAGAGTAGGTATGCCCAGGAGCGGTTATCCAAGAGGATAGTATGTAGCTTGGGAATCAGTTTATTTAGCATGTTTTGTTTTTTTTTAAGATTTATTTATTTGTGCATACAGAACTGGGGTCCAGGCCAGAGGCTAGGAGCAGTGAGAGGCTTCACCAGAGACAGAGTGGGATGCAGAACAGGCAGATCGACGAAGTACACTGCTGAGGGGAGCAGCGGGTGGGTCAGGAGAGGTCTGCCACGCCATGTGGTCACATCCGGGTCAGGAGAGGTCTGCCACATCATGTGGTCACCTCCGGGGCAGGCGGGAATGAAACTCATGCGGAAGTGGCTTTAGATTCTCAGTGTTGTGCTTTAACCTGCTGCGCCACCAGGGAGGGCCTATTTAGCATGTTTTTTAAAAGTGCTTAACACTTGGTGGTTTATAGCTTGCAGAAGAATTAGTCCAAGAAGTGGTCTTTCAAGTTCACAAATATTGAAGCTAAACAACAGGGGAGTCCCACTTCACCCCACGATGTGGGCAAGTGCAGGGAGAGAGAAGAAAAGTGTGATTCGGGGCTCCTATTGAGATCACGTAACCTGTTTCTTGCTTCTAGAGATCTATCGCTGCCCTCCCCCCTCTGTCACAGGCATTCAGCTGAAACTTGAGGCTCCTAATAATGAGAGAAAATGGTTCTTCTTACTTTCTTTCTTGTTCTCTGCTTGCCTGACATAACCACTGGCCATTTGCACAGAGGAAGGGTGCTCATCTTTCTCTATCACCCATCCTCCATTTCCCCACACAGTTTTGTTACCTTGACAATACCTTTTCCTCTTTATTTTTTACTTATAAAAGCTGCTGATTTATTTCATAATTTATGTGCAGTACGGTCCATTTCACAGGACATATACAATTCTACAAGCTTTGCCAAATGAATGAATGCTGATATTTTTCCTAACAAAATATTATATATTTTGTAACTTAAATGTTCCTTGGCAGGGACTGAACTCTGGCCAGGGTGGTGACAGCACTGAGAATTAATACCTGGGCCACCATGGAGGCCCCGACTCCTAAACATCTTGATGAGTCTGTGAAATAAGCATTTTCTAAAACTTAA